CATTAAATGTGATTGGTTATATTTTATCTCTCTTATTACAGCAATAATTCTATTAATATTTCTCACAAAATATGTGTGTACTAATTAGGGGTTTGATTCTCGTGAAGCTTAGCTTAAACTCACGTATCTTATCTAACATACAAAGATCTCGTGTAATGTAATTAAAGAAAAAAAATTTCTTACATAAAAGTAAATTAGCTTTTTATTATTTGAATAGTATTAGAGTTAAGATTAATGATCCACCTTCAATAGAAATATATTTTTATTATATAATGATGTTACAATATGTATTTATAATGGTGTTGGCAACAAGTTTACTAGAATATGGGTTATGAACACCTCGATTATTTTTCAAGAATTACATGACCAAATGATTGAGTATAAAAGTTTTCCTAATTGAGAAACTTTACTCAATAATACAACATCTATCACTACCAACTTTATCATAAAATCAATTCAAGTTTTTCCCTCCAATAACTTTGGTCTAATCCAACTATTCAAAGCATAATCAAGGTAAAAAAATCCTTTATCTCAATCCTCCAACAATAAAGAGCAATCAATTATTAATTTTGTGAAAATTTTAGTCATAATGCCTATAAATGTTTCAAGTTAAAGAAGCTTCTTAATATTCGTGTACCACCAATAAATACAATAATAACTTCAAATAAAAGAAATAATGGCCATTTGATTCAAATGCCTCTCACTATGGTAATCAAGATATCAATTATCTTTCTCTAAATACTAAGTATGATGGAGTAGAAAAAAATTTATTAGGTGATGATCATATTTACCCATTATTCACACTAATCATACATACTTATTTCATTCTAATCACTTTCCACACCCCTTCAACATAATGATCATGCTAAATAAAAACACATACAATTGGAAACTGATATTGCTCTCCTCCATCAAGCATCTCTACTCTGCCCTTTACAGTCTTTTGCATTTGAGGCAATCAATTAATTGCCATTTAATCAGTTGGTTGTCCACTTTTATCTTCTCTATAAACTTCTCATTTTAAAAATTTATCAATAAAATTATAAACTAAGACAAGATGCAATTAAATATTATTTACTAGTAAGCTTTTTTTTTTTCTTCATATAGTCTCGTTTTCATGTAACTTTGATTAATTCATTATTAATAAAAAATAGTTTTCCCATTTGGGAGTGGAATTTGGTGAATTTATGGTTGGCAAATGTTTGTAAGATATCTTGTATTATTCCATTTTTTATGTAATAAACAATTTTGTTAATGTTTATTCAAATTAGTACATGTTGGTTGTCCAAGAAAAATTAGTACTAGTTTTTTTATAACAAACTTGGGAATGCGGGGCAAATATGTAGCCCCAAATGGGCGGGCGGGCGGGCGGGCCGGCTTACAAAAGAGCCCAGTGATTTTGCCGTCTGGGATTATACTTCTTTCCAGAAAACTACCAAGAAGAAATTTGGCTCCCCTTCATGTCTGGTCGTTTTTTTTCTTCGACAAAAATTTATCAGAATCCCACATAATAGCGAAATTTACCAACTAGGGACTTTGACGAAAGCTCAAACACATCTCTAGCAGATTCGTTTAGTCACATCCACCTTTGCTTCTGTATAAACACACACAGGGAACGAGGAAGGGATGCAAACTGTCGTGTTAAAGCCAGCTCTATGCTACCGCCCTCGACAATCCCTATACTGTTCTTCTCTATCACTTCAGGTATTTCTTTTTCTTTCATTTTCTCCATTTCTTTTTTTTTTGTGAAATTAAGAATCTTTTTTTAATGCCAATTTGGCTTCTCTTCCACTTTCTTCAATTTGGGTTTTTTCTAAATTTCTTGTGATCTCAACTTCGCAGAGGTGGAGTTTATTTGGAACAAAAGTTTCGCTTGCAAGAAGGCGTAATCCTCTGCGATGGGGTTTATGTAGGTCCCTGCGAATTCCACCTCGGCTTCTAACGAGCAGGATAGGTTAGTTCTTGCCTCTTTTTTAATTTTTTTTTTTTCTGTTGTAAGTTTTACTAATCTCAAGATATTGATTTTTGTTTGCCTTTCTTATTGCTCATTTTCTATTTCTGTAAATTTCATTTAGCTGCTTCTTCGACAGAAGGAGCTTAAAATGATAATTTCCAAAGCATGAAAAGATTGGTTGCAAGTTTGGGGAATACAAAAAGAAAACCAATGATTTTTTTTTCCTTTCTCTTAGGGGAGAGCGGGTTCCTCTTTCCTCCCCTAAGGTTGTTATCAAGTTCAACCAGGGAAATAGCTGCCTGGTTTAGTTTTGTTCTATGCATGTATTTGATTTATTTCATGTTTATTTCAACTGCGGTTATTCCCTTGTTTTGTAGATTTATCTGTAGTTTTGTACTTCCTTAACAATTGAAGCTATTTTTCTTTGTGGTTTGTTTGCTGTTGATGGGATCTTTTTCTCTTGCACTCCTCAACCACTGCTCTACTTCAGTGATTATTTGCTGAACTAGTGAGTTCATGTTTTTTTTTTCTTTTGCCTTAGCAGTTGTAAAGGCTGTAGCTACTCCAGATCCAGTGGTGGAATTGCCTCTAACGGCAGAGAATATTGAAAGTGTATTAGATGAAATTAGACCATATCTCATTGCAGATGGGGGGAACGTGGCTTTATATGAGATTGATGGCAATGTTGTACGGTTGAAGTTACAAGGGGCATGTGGATCATGCCCAAGTGCTGTTATGACAATGAAGATGGGTATAGAGCGTCGTTTAATGGAAAAGATTCCTGAAGTAGTTGCAGTTGAATCAGTACCGGATGAAGAGACTGGCCTTGAGCTGAATGAAGAAAATATAGAAAAGGTGAGCATGATAGAGTCTTTACATCAAGTTGCATTGTCGTTAATTCAGTAGTTGTATTCATATCCCATTTACGATGGATAGATTCATACAGAGAGGAAAACAAGTTAAAAAAAAAGGGAGACCAAATGGGACTACTTGTTTGTAGTATTCAAATTCCATATGTGGACATGTTATTTAGAGATACCATATATGTGGTTTAGTTGGATACACATTCCATATCTGGTGCCAACTTTTGATGATCTAGGCATTGAACTATAAGATGTTGTGGCATGGTTATAGTATGGAAAACATTCAGTTTTACTTGTGTTCGAATTTGAAGATTTGTTGACATAGATTAGGTTTTAGTAAATGTAGTGGTTTAGAGATACAGTAAAGTCGAGTTTGTATCAAATCCATTTGAATGGAATAAAAATAGGTATACAATAAAGGATAGAAGTTTGAACAAAATTAACATGTTAATTTCTAGTCAAATCCATGTCCAATTTAGATAAGGTGTTTTTGTGATTCTCTCATTGACAAGTGAGGATACAAACCACCTTCTATTATGGTGTCCTACTGCATATAGTTTGTTAACTTTTGTGTACGGTATTTTGGGCATTAATTGGGTTATTGCTGGGTCGGGAGGGAGAGAAATTTGGGCTTGGGACGGTTTAAATCTAAAAATAAATTAGCTAATATGACTCCTTTAACAGTTTTTTGGGTTATTTGGAAAGAAAAGAATAGTAGAGCTTTTGATTGTGAGGAAAATAGATTCTCTAGACTAAAAGATAAATGACTGAATTATTTTGGTTGTATTTTGGTAGGTCATGACATTATTAGTGATATGAATTTTGGGAATGTCATAGAGACACTAATTTTATTGTAAATCTTTTGTACAGTTTACCATTTTTATTTCAAAAAAATAAAGTGAGGACATAAACCATAGTTCTTTAATTGAAGATTTGAGTGAGATTGATTCAATAATCACCAATTTATAGATTATTATTAACTTCTATATGTTAAATAATTAAGATATAGGAATTGAATAGAATAAAATGTGAATCAATTACAACATAAGAAGAGTTTGGAAGGACTACAAGAAGTCCTTCACAAAATAAACTTCTTGCTGAGACATTTGTTTATACCAATGTCTTATTACTTATTGGCACATATAAGAAGGCCAAATTCTAGATACATATTTGACTAATATTAGTAAGTGATGGTAAAGAAGAGTGAATGATGTAACCTGTTTCTGAGTCAATAACATTTAGCTTAGATGGCATGATGTTTTCATTGTAAAGTTGATGACTCAAGTTCGAGTATTGTCCTCCGTCCCATTAAAAAGAAGAAAAAGGCTGTTCTGATATTATAGGATGTTATAAGAATAACAGAGTAATTTCTAATAAATATTTAGGTCATTTAAGTTATCCTGGAATTTTGAGATTTCATGGTCTTCAGGTTTATTTCGGGTTAGGAATTAACTGGTGGCCATTCAAGAGCACCTCTTTTAGGATTTCAGAGTGGCCGTTTTAGGACTTATGATTCCTGTTTGGAGGCTTAATGAGAATATCAGATTTATAAGACACTGGTTTAGTACATGAGATAAAATATTTAACTCAATTTTGAGTGTTGTCTTCCGTCCCATTCAAAAAAAGAAAAAAGTTGTTTCTGATATTATAATATGTTATAAAAATAACAGAGTAAATTCTAACAAATATTTAGGTTATTTAAGTTAGCCTAGAATTTTGAGATTTCTTATTCTTCAGGCTTATTTCGGGTTAGGAATTAGTTGGTGGCATTCAAGAGCACCTCTTTTAGGATTTCAGGGTGGCCGTTTTATGACTTATGATTTCTTTTTGAGGCTTAATGAGAATATGAGATTTATGAGGCACCAGTTTAGTACATGAGATAAAATATTAAGTTCACTTTCAATAAACATATATATATTATATATTATTTATATATATTGGAACAAGTTAATTAGTTTCTGATTGACAGCTTTTCTACCTGTGTTCCTCTTCACTACTCATTCTCTTACCTGCAACTGTAAACCCTTGTTATGATGCTGGATTATGTCAGGTACTGGAAGAAATAAGGCCTTACCTTGTTGGAGCAGCCGGGGGATCTCTGGAGTTAGTGGCAATTGAGGAGCCAATTGTGAAAGTAAGAATTACCGGTCCAGCAGCAGGAGTGATGACTGTCCGAGTGGCAGTTACACAAAAATTGCGAGAGAAGATCCCAGCAATTGCTGCAGTTCAGCTTCTTTAATATCTCTCCAACCTTCTGGAATTAAATGTGTAGTTTTTTGCCAATAAATAGTTGAATACAATCTGTATAGTTTATGAATGGATACGAATCCAGTTTGTAGAATGGAAGTTTTAGTCAAATTTGGCCTTAAAAAGTTTGCTAAAGTTGTGGAAAGCATAGCCTTCTTAATGCCTGTGAGTTCCACTGGATTTTTGCTTAAAGCATTAGCTTGAAGCCTTTGAACAAACTTCGTTTATCCAATAATTTAAACTGAAGATAAGTGCATTTTTAATAATTTTTTATTTAGGAAACTAAAGGAGGGTTTAATTATAATCAGGTCTAGTATTTTAAAGAACACACAGATGATGATGACAATCATCCAACGTGCCTTTTCTACTACGAGAAATTGTTTTATAATTTTTCAGAATTTATCTTATCATTTATAAATATAATTAGGTATACTCGTTAAAATTGAAAATCATTTCTTCAATAATCTATTTGTTTGTTTAATCCCGTTACACACTGATGAATGCCTTTACATCAAATAACCCTTCTTTTTATATTGCTCGTCTCATGCAATACCCTGTATCTATAATATAGCATCTATCTACAAATATGATTCTACTTGTCTATGTTTATATACATACATATATGTGTTCATTTTTTCACCTATCATCAACTAGCACTGAAAAGTTGGAACTTGCAACTGCATTTAGTATAAGTATTGTATCACCCGTTATTACTTCCCATCCAAGACAAATATAACTGAAAGCATATCATTCCTGCAAGTAAGAACACGTAATGATTTACTACAACGTCCATCTCAAACAAAATATCCAACGTACTGAAACTAATGAATGCGAACAGTCACTGTAAAGTTGAGTGACTAATCCAGCAAATCTCTAACACCATAAATTTAACTAGGCAACAACTCACAAGATTATACTCAAATTAAAGAAGGATGAACAAGAACAGTCAATGGATTCAGTTTATTATATGAATATATAACAAACAACCTTTCTTATACGAGGAAATGACTTAGGTTTTGTTTCTTAGGCATTCAAGATTGCAGTGTAAATAAATGTAATTTTATTCAATAAATAGTCTCTTTTCACCCATCCAATAAATAATCTCCATCATAGTTAATCGACGGCAGTTCTGACTCAAGATCAGGACCGAAAAAATGCCAACTAGAATCAAGAAAAGCTGCAAAATAATCGTCTGATATTGTCTTGATTCTAAATTCATCTGAGAATTTTCGAACAGCTATTACATGCCTAGCTGAATTAATAATGGATGAGTTTCTATAGTAAACAATATTCTGCTCGTACGTCTCAAAGCTATTCCCAAACAAAACAATTCTATTCAAGAGATCCACTCTCCAGTTTGCTTGTAGAAGATTGTTGTATAACTCTGCCTCGCAATGAGGCATGAAGAAAAGTGTAGGCTTCAGAGCCTGTCGCCGACCTTCCTCATTTACTGATAGAACAGTGCAACCAAGGGCTTCTAAAACCCAAGATTCAGTAGCAGAAAGAACTGGATCAAACACCTCTATGTCCCCAATCCAACTAAACTTTCTCTTCATCAAGATTGCAAGGCTCAACTGAAACCTAGGAGGTTCATATGATTCAATGCTGCCTATACCGTATATTACCATCTGCATCTTCAGGTCAGATCCCAAAACTTTGTGGAATCGATCCAACATATCAGAAGATTGGATTTGTTCCAAGAAACTAGCATAAAATTGCGAGTTCTCAATTCTCCTCATAGATGTCTCCATCTTCTGCATCAATTTTGATTGCTTGCGGGGATCAGTTTCTAGATCAGTTGGAATCCAAGGTTGTCCTTCTTCAGTTCTAGTCTTAATGGAATTTGTTCTTCTCTGTTTCTGTCGACGGGGTAAAACAATTGTCCACTCTCCATTCTGAGTCAAATTATCAATGGTAAGAACCTTGGCGGAAGCAGCCATCAAAACCAAATATTTTTTCTTCTTGAGGCTAGCAATTCAAGTAAATTATTTGCCAAGAGAATTGCCAGTAGAAGAACTGAGAAGAAGCTGTTGCCAAGGGGAACTCAATATATGTGCCTCGCCAAGTAAGCTGTAAATATCATGAACTAGTCTAACTGCGAAACCTGATATTTACACCTACTATCATTGGGCGGAAACAATTAATCAAAAAATAAATAAATAAAGTGGATCTAGACAAAGAAAAGTTTGCAGCATAAACAATCATACGCGAGACTAGCAAAATGATCCCTTTTATTTCTTTTCAGTAATAAAATATTCCTTTTACTTATGAACACGACCAACGAAGGATCAGAATATCTTCCTTAATGCCATACCATTAAAAATATATATTATACAAGAGAAAAGACAGTCAAAATGATTCCTTGTATTAGATGCATACGTTTCAGCATGCTATGGGGATCGCAAATCATCAACAGACTTAGATATCAAATATTAGAATTTGGTGACGATGTAACAGCATCAACCCTAAAAATCTGAATGGAGAAGACATTAAACTTCAATTGTGTTAGATTCCGCAGGGCAATATTAACAAGGTCGATCCAAAGCAAAACAAAAGAGTAATCCGATTCTCTCTCCCTCTCTATCTCTATAAGCAGATTCAGTTGAAGGACAATAAACAGCGTACCAAAATCGAAGAGACTGGATGTGGAGCTGTCGTCGAGAAAAAATAGGGTTAGGCAACCGCGTCAATCTTTTCAAACTTAAGAGATCACCTTTCTTTCCTTTGTAATGAAGCCTGAGATCCTGAGATCCACTAACAGCTCCTATGCCCACTTTCCACCGGCCTCAAGTGATGCTGCTGGTGTTGTTAGCGTCTGGATTCGATCGTCTGTGTGGCTGGCGCAAGCAACCCCCTGCTGCTGCGGCAGAGACGAATGTTTTATATACGCTTAATGAAAAATGACTATTTATTTTTAATAATTATTTTATATAATTTAAAATTTTCAACAATAAGTATGTATTAACTTGAAAGGACTTTTAAACATTTTAAAAATTTAACTATCAAATAAATTTAAAAATTTCTAACAATATTAAAATTTTATTTTTTTTAGATAATTCATAAGCAAATTAATATTTATTTTAATAATTTTCGTTCAAGTTATTATTATAAACTAACTTCCTACCATACACTATATCTGTTATATATTAATATTATTGGCACTATAGATTATACGCACATAGCTATTTGTATTATATATAACAAAGATCTTTAAGATACAAATTAAAATTTACAATTCTGATGACATAACTTTTCATCAATATTTGTATTTTCTTATAAAAATATTATATATTTTAAACAAGCATTAGTTCTATTATAATCAAATTTACTGTTTAATAATATTTAATATTTTAAAATATAAATTATTTAAGTTAAAAATGTAAATTGTTATTCACCCCTTCAGTAAATACTATTTCCAAGTCATCAAATTTCTCCCTACAAGAATTGCAGGTTGAACAACGCAATTAGCATCGTAACTTTTGAGTGGTTGAATATATTTTAGAGGGTATAAATATTCATATAAGAAACAAAATTATCAGTTTATACATGCCCATTTCTCATAAAAATTTCAAAAGAACTCAAACACCAGGAATGGGAAACTGGGTTGTGAGTCCTTCTACTCTTTCGCGGAGATTTGATACCTTCTCCTTCAAACAGAAATCGGGACACGTTACATATTTCA